TACTGGCGAACAAACTGCAAAGATGTAATTCCAGCTCAGCAGCTAAGCAGGCCCGTTTTCAGAAGTGAGTTAGGCATGATATCATATTCACTATGCTGTTCAGTTACATCACAGCCCCGGCTGAAAGGCAAGCAAGTCCCCAGTGTAGGGGACTTTCTGATGCATCCCTTCTGTCTCAAAGAGCTAAAAGCCCTTATTTTATTCAAATGCCTTGGGGGGAAAAAAACTAAATATTTCAAATAATCCCATATGACGTTTTTTCCTAGAAGTAATAAATGATATTTTACCCAGATAGTTACTGCATTTACTACATTAATAGATACAATTGACTTTGTCAACTCAGTCAAGCAATAATAATAAAATCTTAAGAACAGCTAATTTATTATATACTTAATATATGTCAATCACTGTACTAAGGCCTTTGCAGACACGGATCCATTTCATTTTCACAGCAGAACTTTGAGTTGGGTGCAACATTCTTTCCACTAGTTTGATTCTAAAAGCATATAGTTTTTAATTCCTCTCTAAAACCAAATCTTCCCTGCTCCAAAACCTATGTCAACAATTTACGAACATCCACATCCCCAGTCTTCACCCCAGCAAGACACACACAGATAACAGGCTGTCTGTACAACCATATGAGTTCGATAAATGCATCCCGACTAATATGTTCGTTTTTAATGCTGTTCAAACATTCACATGGAAACAGCTCTAGCGTAAATATCCCCGAACAAATGGCTGTATATTATCCAGGAGGGAGCAGTTGGGCCGCCAGACTGGGGAAGTACTAGGCCATCTGGCTCCGGCAATCTCTCCAAAACCATCAGCTTTGTTTTCACCCCCAGACTCCAAACAACACATTTTCCACTGTGATGAGTTTACATTTTCCCAAACACAGGTCCTGATCATGCATAAAAATTCCAAACTTCTTCATTCCTCTATGTGCAAGGAAATTTAAATCACCTGCATTTTTGACATGTTACCAAAGGAGACTGAAAGCTGTTGAAATATAGCCCCTGACATAAACCTACTCTGTCCTTTCTTGTTTGTTTCCCTGGATATATGAAAGAGCTTCTTTGCTGGCCTTGTAAATTCCTTGGGAACTTATAGATATGCCCCTCCCCCAAAAAAAGTGTTTATCTACCAATGAACTGAAAGAGTTGTTAATCAAATCTATGTAGCCTTGGTAGAACATAATGAAACAATCAATGGGAGGAAAATAAATTGGAATCAACAACTTTAAGTGCTGGGAACATCCAAACAAATATATAAAGAAATCTAGCTAGGGAGCAAATCTGGCAACCTTTGCATTTACTGGACTGTGCCTTTACTCCACTGAATCAGCGCCTTTTGTAGTGGCCTCCCCACATAGCCTACCTTTAGATACATACATGCAAAGATTATGTGACTTCTGTTGGCCTCCCTCAAAAGTAAATAAGTAAAATAAAAAAATAAAACTTTTGTTTGGGCTCAGGGAACATGAGATTGAATCTCCTTTAAGTATTTCTTGAAAAACTCACTCTTTGAGTAAGATGGTGGAAGAAATGAGTTAGTTTAGTGTTTATTAATTACTTAAAGATAAATACCTCACTGGAGTAACCATGGAACACAACCATATCTCAAATGACACAGGAAAATCCGAAGTGAGGCAGGTCAAACCTCAGGCCTCCCCAACTGGGTACATGAGAGTTTCTACATTGACACTGTTTCTGGATGCATCAGCCATAAACTCCTGGATCCTGAGGGCTTTTGCATGCTCACTAATAGAATACCAAAAACAGCAACGACACAAAAACAATCTATTTTTAGGCCAGCTAAACTTGGTTTTGAACAACCCTTCCCAAAAGCAAGACATTTCTTTTCTAATTGAACAGGTTTGGGTTTTTGTTGTTGTTGTAGTTCATTTAAGGTTTGTTTTGTTTTTGTTGTTGTTCTCAAATTTTATACCCTATGTTTTACAATGGAGACATAAGGAGATGGGACCCCAGAGCCTTACACATTCACTCCTAATGAGGCTCCATCATTGCTGGTAGAGTCCAAAATTAGGAATCATTCCTCCGAATAGTCTAATGAGACACTTTAGAAAGGTGTGAAACACTGTGTCATATTCATACATCTTGGTCGGTTGAGTACCTTTCTGCCTCATCTCAGTGCTACTGTATCCACTCAAAATGAGGAACAACCTGTGCCACTAAAGCATGCACAGCAACTCTGTATGTTACTGGCTGAAGATTCCATCTGAATGTTACCCCCAGCTTGCAAATCAGGATATGACATCACATGCACAAAGGCACAACTATATAGTAGTAGGGTCACCGATCAGTGAAGAGGAGATTTCTCAGTGGCCAGGTTTTCCCTCCACCAGCTCCAGTGTTCTTAGAACTCACCACATTGCCAATTGTATTCTGTCTCACACTCTAAATATCAAAATCTGGAATGCATCAGAAAGTATTTCACAGAGGGGCAATGTTACCACTTAATCACTCAGCCTCTGCCAATCCGTACTTTTAGTTAAAGAGGCCGAGGTATATTTCCCTAGCATCAACGCTTTTAGAATGTTTCTATCAGCCTAAGCATTTAATTAGCATAGCATATTTTTGAACTACAGGAAGGTCCACTGTTTTACTCCTGAAGCTGAATATGAATGTGATCTGCAGCTCAGAAAGTAAGGCTTCTGGTATTTCTATCTGCTTTGGGGGGGGGGGGCGAATGGTGAATACATAAGAAGGTAACCTACTTCTAAAACTCCTGCAGCATGTAATCAAAGAACAAGCAACTGGATAATGAACACGGATTGCCTTTCAAAGTGAAAGTTATAGAAAGGGTGGCTACTCAATCATGATGAAAGCAAATGGGCTCATCTTAAAATGTCTTTTGTCTTGATACTTTTGTACATAAATAGGTAACTATTAAACCTTTTTTTCCAGGTTAATCTTGATTAGAATACATAACTACATGTATTTATAATTTAAACTTTTAGTAATATATGGCAAATGACTTTTTTTAGACCCATTATTTTTTAAAATGCTATCAAGTGGTCAAAGACACCTTCACCTGGAGATTTTTAAAAGCTCTATGGCCATGTTACTAAAATATTTGATGTATTGCTTTCTATTTTTAAAGATCCTCCCACTGTTGCCATATGAGAGAGTATAATGATAAAATGAATTCTTGGTAGCACTGTCTGTTTAGGGAGATCACAATTGAAGTTTTGGGGAGGTTTAAATCAGATAGAAACAATCTCTTCTAACATTTATTAATTCTATGGTCCTTGGAACAGTGCTTGTCATAGTGTGGCCTACTGTTTCAGTGGTCAATGTTCCAGGAACACATCGGCCTTCTACAGTTGTTTGTGTGGATGCCTTTATCTTAAAAAGCAAGCCCTAATAAATACAAATGAAGTATAGGGTATAGTTCATTCTTTTCCCTCAGGCGCCCCTGTCTCCACTCCTCTCTGATGAGAAGGGCAAGACAGGATATCAGAAACAACTTTTGAAAAGCAAAATTCCACCTAGTATATTTTTGTTTTGACACCAAATTAAAAGTTATTAAAACAAGTATTTTGTGTTTCTGCTCAGCAGAGAAAAAATTAAGAATTCAGAGTCCAAGAGAAAGACAATTATCCTATATAGCCTTTAGATGCATTCAAGAAAATAGCTATGATTAAAACAATAAATGGAAATTTACTCTGAGCTGTCAACTAAGAAATGAACACAATCTTGCAGAGAGGAAAATACTTAAGGAAAATAGCATGACATCAATTTTTTCAGATGCTTATTACTTTAAAAAATATACTTCATGCCCATAATTCCATGTATTTTACTTGAGTCACAATAAATATGTTCATAATAACCAACATGAACTGTTATTAAATGCTTTCTGCTAAGATTGCAAACTCCCAAAAGCTTATTAATGTGTATTTTGCACATTATAGCTAGGCAAATCTAAAGCTACTTTTAATTATGCATGCACACCCTAATTCCAAACTTTTGAAACTATTGAAGAAAGTGGACCCCTCCTTGTTTTAAAGGGAATATTTTTAAATGACAATAAGGTAAACACATTTTAACCCTAGTACTAAACTGCTATTTGCTGTACAATAGATAACTTTTCTTTTTGTTCTGAATTCTTTCATCCTCTAAATAAAGATGTCTTCTTTTTTCTGCTACTTCATTCTGAAACTATACTTTTTCTTAAAATTAAGAAGGGGGGGAACCTCCTGGGCCTCATTAAAATGTCAAGCCTCGCTTCTACCTTGGCTCATAATTGTATCTTTTAAAACATAACTCAACCTTAATGTATACTGCCTGACACCAAGTGTTGGCAAGCTTAAGAAAATGCTGTCCGTTTACCTTTAAGACAGAAAGCTAGCTTGCTTTTGTTGCCTGGCTCCCAGCCAAACTTGGAGGCCAAAGCAGGAGGGTTTTTGTAAAACACCCTCCAACAATTGTATGCTCACACTTTCAACACTACTTTCCAATACCACCGCCTTTTAAAAATTAAAAATCTGTGGAGAAGTCATTTGCAAACTTCATCCAGCTCTGCCGGTCTGGAAAAGCCAGCTTTGCCCCCCCCCAACCCCGCCCCTCCAAGTTCCTCTGGCCTGGGCATGGATAAAACCTGGCTAGTTTGGGTCTCAGTAGTTCAGTCCATACTGCCTCCCGCAGGTGGGGGTTCCTAGGCTCCTTTTGCATCCCCTGGGGCTCCTCAGCCAAGTCAGAGGAAGTCCAGTCCTTACTCCTTCATTCAGCATCCCAGGTCTTAATCACCGGGCCTGGATTTCCCAGGGAGGGAAGTGAGCCTCGAGCGATCCCCAGACAGAGGTGTTACAACAGAAATGGTCCGGCAAGCCTGAGCTGCTACCACTTTGCCAGGGCTACCTGACTTTGAAGAGTTTGGGTCCCATTCATCTCTCAGTGGTGGCACAAGCAGCTTTTGAACCGCAGCAAATTTTGTGACCCAAGAGTCGTTGCCACAGTGTGGAATTCTAAGAAACTTACTTGTTTTGTCATGGAGTCGATGAGGCGCACATAGAAATCCTGTTCAGTCCTTATCCCTGTGGGTGGAGGGAGGAAGGAAAATTAAGAGAGGGGATAAACCCTGAAGGAAAAAAGAACCCCACAATACAAATAACAAGAGCAACAAACAAAAACTGCACACAAAGGGGGCCAAGGCCAAGGGGAACTCCTGCTGTCCTGAAAAGGGGATCCTCCCCAGAATCCAGAAAGGATCTTCGGGCCTAGT